GGAAAGATTACCTTTGGTAGTGTTATTTTTTTAATGCCACTCTTTCTAGGAAAACAACGTTCCACATGGTAGTCTTCATCAGTAGAAAAGTTTGAGAAATTAAAGAAGGTGGACAAACACATGTTGATGTTGTCATCACCAATGTTAGCTAAGTAGAACATGAGTCTGGCAACAACAACAACAACAATTGTTTACATACGCCCACAAACTTCAATGGTGTACATGCTAATTCAACTAAGATGAATTATCAACTTTCCTCTCACTATCTTCCAATGATGGGAATGATATTGATGAGAACATAATCTTGTGGAACTACACCAATCATCTTGATAACTACTAGATAACCAAAGACTCTTATGCATTCAAGTTTATTGTATTAGTCCTTTAAAAGTTCAAACAAAATAAATTAGTTAATTTTTTATGTCTTCTTAAGTGACGTTAAATTTTATGTTATATTACATCTCTACTTATTTCTTTCTACCATTACACGCCTACTTTCGTTTAACATGTTCAAACAAGAAAATCTAAATTTACTATTATTTAAAAACAATTATGAAATCTATTTAGTCAACAAATAAAAAAATTTTAGGCAAAGATCAAACAAAGACTTTGATATAAAAATTATATATATAATCTCTATAATATATGTTTTTCTCTCTCTCCTCATTTAATTATGATATAAAGTATAAGATTTAATATTTTTTTGGTCTTATAAATATAATAAATTACATTTTAAGTCTCTCTAAAAATAAATGTATGTTTTATTTTCCCCAATGTTTTTATTTATCTTAAAAAGTTTCTGCATTTTGCTATCGGTGGAAAAGAGTTACAAAACCAAGGAATAAAATCAGTGGCAAAAAAGAAAAAGTTCCTAAAAAACTTATATAACGGAAAATTAATTTTAAAATATTATAAGGATTAAGAAGTTATGTAGCCCTTAATTATATATCTTTTAGAGTGTAGACGTATTTTTCTCTCCTTAAACAACTAAATTTTCTACTGAATAGATAATCTAGAAGGGAGGCTACAATCCATATCTAATAATAATCTAGATGAAAATCCATAATCCAATGGATAAGAACCAAATCTCTCACATTCGAAACAACTATAAATAAATACCGTCACACATTGTTATTCTCTGCATTATAAAAAACATATCCCTAATAATGGCGCACAAAATTTGCTTGCTCATTTTTTCCCTCAAACTCCAAACCCCCAAACTCTACCAATGATTCCTCAGAAAACAATCCTATTATATTTTCTATACACTCAGATAACTCTTTTTCCAAGGTGGAGGCAACAGCGAGTTTATGGTCTCTAACACCGCCACCAACAATAACAATAGTGACACATTGGTGATGCCAATGTCGTCATCTGCACAACCACCATCTGGTAGATATGTGGATCATCATCAAGATCCATTGGAGGACCTTACCAAATCCTTCTCTAAAAAACAAATGGGTAGACCCTTGGGATCTAAGAACAAGCCCAAAACATGCATTATTATCGAGGAAGACACACAAAACTTCATAGAGTGGGTAGGGCTTGAGATCCCAATAAGAGAAGATATTATAGTGAATATAATAAAATTCGATCAACAACTTCAACATAACATAATTGTTTCGGGGGTTTCGGTCTTATCTCTAACGTTACCATTCTTGATCCAGTATCCTGGGACCCATTATTATCCATCGAAGAACCCATACATATGACATCTTTATTTGGAACATATATAAATCCAAATTTTCCATGTTCTCCTTCACAATTCATATCTCATCCACCATGTTCCTCTTTTAACGTATACTTGTCTAGTCCTAAAATATATGTGTATTGAGGCGTTGGTGGTGGAAAGATTACCTTTGGTAGTGTTATTTTTTTAATGCCACTCTTTCTAGGAAAACAACGTTCCACATGGTAGTCTTCATCAGTAGAAAAGTTTGAGAAATTAAAGAATGTGGACAAACACATGTTGATGTTGTCATGACCAATGTTAGCTAAGTAGAACATGAGTCTTGCAACAACAACAACAACAATTGTTTACATACGCCCACAAACTTCAATGGTGTACATGCTAATTCAACTAAGATGAATTATCAACTTCCCTCTCACTATCTTCCAATGATGGGAATGATATTGATGAGAACATAATCTTGTGGAACTACACCAATCATCTTGATAACTACTAGATAACCAAAGACTCTTATGCATTCAACTTTATTGTATTAGTCCTTTAAAAGTTCAAACAAAATAAATTAGTTAATTTTTTATGTCTTCTTAAGTGACGTTAAATTTTATGTTATACTACATCTCTACTTATTTCTTTCTACCATTACACGCCTACTTTCGTTTAACATGTTCAAACAAGAAAATCTAAAATTATTATTATTTAAAAACAATTATGAAATCTATTTAGTCAACAAATAAAAACAATTTAGGCAAATATCAAACAAAGACTTTGATATAAAAATTACATATATAATCTCTATAATATATGTTTTTCTCTCTCTCCTCATTTAATTATGATATAAAGTATAAGATTTAATATTTTTTGGGTCTTATAAATATAATAAATTACATTTTAAGTCTCTTTAAAAATAAATGTATGTTTTATTTTCCCCAATGTTTTTCTTTATCTTAAAATGTTTATGCATTTTGCTATCAGTGGAAAAGAGTTACAAAACCAAGGAATAAAATCAGTGGCAAAAAAGAAAAAGTTCCTAAAAAACTTATATAACGGAAAATTAATTTTAAAATATTATAAGGATTAAGAAGTTATGTAACCCTTAATTATATATCTTTTAGAGTGTAGACGTATTTTTCTCTCCTTAAACAACTAAATTTTCTACTGAATAGATAATCTAGAAGGGAGGCTACAATCCATATCTAATAATAATCTAGATGAAAATCCATAATCCAATGGATAAGAACCAAATCTCTCACATTCGAAACAACTATAAATAAATACCCTCACACATTGTTATTCTCTGCATTATAAAAAACATATCCCTAATAATGGCGCACAAAATTTGCTTGCTCATTTTTTCCCTCAAACTCCAAACCCCCAAACTCTACCAATGATTCCTCAGAAAACAATCCTAGTATATTTTCTATACACTCAGATAACTCTTTTTCCAAGGTGGAGGCAACAACGAGTTTATGGTCTCTAACACCGCCACCAACAATAACAATAGTGACACATTGGTGATGCCAATGTCGTCATCTGCACAACCACCATCTGGTAGGTATGTGGATCATCATCAAGATCCATTGGAGGACCTTACCAAATCCTTCTCCAAAAAACAAATGGGTAGACCCTTGGGCTCTAAGAACAAGCCCAAAACATGCATTATTATCGAGGAAGACACACAAAACTTCATAGAGTGGGTAGGGCTTGAGATCCCAATAAGAGAAGATATTATAGTGAATATAATAAAATTCGATCAACAACTTCAACATAACATAATTGTTTCGGGGGTTTCGGTCTTATCTCTAACGTTACCATTCTTGATCCAGTATCCTGGGACCCATTATTATCCATCGAAGAACCCATACATATGACATCTTTATTTGGAACATATATAAATCCAAATTTTCCATGTTCTCCTTCACAGTTCATATCTCATCCACCATGTTCCTCTTTTAACGTATACTTGTCTAGTCCTAAAGTATATGTGTATTGAGGCGTTGGTGGTGGAAAGATTACCTTTGGTAGTGTTATTTTTTTAATGCCACTCTTTCTAGGAAAACAACGTTCCACATGGTAGTCTTCATCAGTAGAAAAGTTTGAGAAATTAAAGAAGGTGGACAAACACATGTTGATGTTGTCATCACCAATGTTAGCTAAGTAGAACATGAGTCTGGCAACAACAACGACAACAATTGTTTACATACGCCCACAAACTTCAATGGTGTACATGCTAATTCAACTAAGATGAATTATCAACTTCCCTCTCACTATCTTCCAATGATGGGAATGATATTGATGAGAACATAATCTTGTGGAACTACACCAATCATCTTGATAACTACTAGATAACCAAAGACTCTTATGCATTCAACTTTATTGTATTAGTCCTTTAAAAGTTCAAACAAAATAAATTAGTTAATTTTTTATGTCTTCTTAAGTGACGTTAAATTTTATGTTATATTACATCTCTACTTATTTCTTTCTACCATTACTTGCCTACTTTCGTTTAACATGTTCAAACAAGAAAATATAAATTTATTATTATTTAAAAACAATTATGAAATCTATTTAGTCAACAAATAAAAAAAATTTAGGCAAAGATCAAACAAAGACTTTGATATAAAAATTATATATATAATCTCTATAATATATGTTTTTCTCTCTCTCCTCATTTAATTATGATATAAAGTATAAGATTTAATATTTTTTTGGTCTTATAAATATAATAAATTACATTTTAAGTCTCTTTAAAAATAAATGTATGTTTTATTTTCCCCAATGTTTTTCTTTATCTTAAAAAGTTTCTGCATTTTGCTATCGGTGGAAAAGAGTTACAAAACCAAGGAATAAAATCAGTGGCAAAAAAGAAAAAGTTCCTAAAAAACTTATATAACGGAAAATTAATTTTAAAACATTATAAGGATTAAGAAGTTATGTAACCCTTAATTATATATCTTTTAGAGTGTAGACGTATTTTTCTCTCCTTAAGCAACTAATGTTTCTACTGAATAGATAATCTAGAAGGGAGGCTACAATCCATATCTAATAATAATCTAGATGAAAATCCATAATCCAATGGATAAGAACCAAATCTCTCACATTCGAAACAACTATAAATAAATACCCTCACACATTGTTATCCTCTGCATTATAAAAAACATATCCCTAATAATGGCGCACAAAATTTGCTTGCTCATTTTTTCCCTCAAACTCCAAACCCCCAAACTCTACCAATGATTCCTCAGAAAACAATCCTAGTATATTTTCTATACACTCAGATAACTCTTTCCAAGGTGGAGGCAACAGCGAGTTTATGGTCTCTAACACCGCCACCAACAATAACAATAGTGACACATTGGTGATGCCAATGTCGTCATCTGCACAACCACCATCTGGTAGGTATGTGGATCATCATCAAGATCCATTGGAGGACCTTACCAAATCCTTCTCCAAAAAACAAATGGGTAGACCCTTGGGCTCTAAGAACAAGCCCAAAACATGCATTATTATCGAGGAAGACACACAAAACTTCATAGAGTGGGTAGGGCTTGAGATCCCAATAAGAGAAGATATTATAGTGAATATAATAAAATTCGATCAACAACTTCAACATAACATAATTGTTTCGGGGGTTTCGGTCTTATCTCTAACGTTACCATTCTTGATCCAGTATCCTGGGACCCATTATTATCCATCGAAGAACCCATACATATGACATCTTTATTTGGAACATATATAAATCCAAATTTTCCATGTTCTCCTTCACAGTTCATATCTCATCCACCATGTTCCTCTTTTAACGTATACTTGTCTAGTCCTAAAGTATATGTGTATTGAGGCGTTGGTGGTGGAAAGATTACCTTTGGTAGTGTTATTTTTTTAATGCCACTCTTTCTAGGAAAACAACGTTCCACATGGTAGTATTCATCAGTAGAAAAGTTTGAGAAATTAAAGAAGGTGGACAAACACATGTTGATGTTGTCATCACCAATGTTAGCTAAGTAGAACATGAGTCTGGCAACAACAACGACAACAATTGTTTACATACGCCCACAAACTTCAATGGTGTATATGCTAATTCAACTAAGATGAATTATCAACTTCCCTCTCACTATCTTCCAATGATGGGAATGATATTGATGAGAACATAATCTTGTGGAACTACACCAATCATCTTGATAACTACTAGATAACCAAAGACTCTTATGCATTCAACTTTATTGTATTAGTCCTTTAAAAGTTCAAACAAAATAAATTAGTTAATTTTTTATGTCTTCTTAAGTGACGTTAAATTTTATGTTATATTACATCTCTACTTATTTCTTTCTACCATTACACGCCTACTTTCGTTTAACATGTTCAAACAAGAAAATCTAAAATTATTATTATTTAAAAACAATTATGAAATCTATTTAGTCAACAAATAAAAACAATTTAGGCAAATATCAAACAAAGACTTTGATATAAAAATTATATATATAATCTCTATAATATATGTTTTTCTCTCTCTCCTCATTTAATTATGATATAAAGTATAAGATTTAATATTTTTTTGGTCTTATAAATATAATAAATTACATTTTAAGTCTCTTTAAAAATAAATGTATGTTTTATTTTCCCCAATGTTTTTCTTTATCTTAAAAAGTTTATGCATTTTGCTATCGGTGGAAAAGAGTTACAAAACCATGGAATAAAATCAGTGGCAAAAAAGAAAAAGTTCCTAAAAAACTTATATAACGGAAAATTAATTTTAAAATATCATAATGATTAAGAAGTTATGTAACCCTTAATTATATATCTTTTAGAGTGTAGACGTATTTTTCTCTCCTTAAACAACTAAATTTTCTACTGAATAGATAATCTAGAAGGGAGGCTACAATCCATATCTAATAATAATCTAGATGAAAATCCATAATCCAATGGATAAGAACCAAATCTCTCACATTCGAAACAACTATAAATAAATACCCTCACACATTGTTATTCTCTGCATTATAAAAAACATATCCCTAATAATGGCGCACAAAATTTGCTTGCTCATTTTTTCCCTCAAACTCCAAACCCCCAAACTCTACCAATGATTCCTCAGAAAACAATCCTAGTATATTTTCTATACACTCAGATAACTCTTTTTCCGAGGTGGAGGCAACAGCGAGTTTATGGTCTCTAACACCGCCACCAACAATAACAATAGTGACACATTGGTGATGCCAATGTCGTCATCTGCACAACCACCATCTGGTAGGTATGTGGATCATCATCAAGATCCATTGGAGGACCTTACCAAATCCTTCTCTAAAAAACAAATGGGTAGACCCTTGGGCTCTAAGAACAAGCCCAAAACATGCATTATTATCGAGGAAGACACACAAAACTTCATAGAGTGGGTAGGGCTTGAGATCCCAATAAGAGAAGATATTATAGTGAATATAATAAAATTCGATCAACAACTTCAACATAACATAATTGTTTCGGGGGTTTCGGTCTTATCTCTACCGTTACCATTCTTGATCCAGTATCCTGGGACCCATTATTATCCATCGAAGAACCCATACATATGACATCTTTATTTGGAACATATATAAATCCAAATTTTCCATGTTCTCCTTCACAGTTCATATCTCATCCACCATGTTCCTCTTTTAACGTATACTTGTCTAGTCCTAAAGTATATGTGTATTGAGGCGTTGGTGGTGGAAAGATTACCTTTGTTAGTGTTATTTTTTTAATGCCACTCTTTCTAGGAAAACAACGTTCCACATGGTAGTCTTCATCAGTAGAAAAGTTTGAGAAATTAAAGAAGGTTGACAAACACATGTTGATGTTGTCATCACCAATGTTAGCTAAGTAGAACATGAGTCTGGAAACAACAACAACAACAATTGTTTACATACGCCCACAAACTTCAATGGTGTATATGCTAATTCAACTAAGATGAATTATCAACTTCCCTCTCACTATCTTCCAATGATGGGAATGATATTGATGAGAACATAATCTTGTGGAACTACACCAATCATCTTGATAACTACTAGATAACCAAAGACTCTTATGCATTCAACTTTATTGTATTAGTCCTTTAAAAGTTCAAACAAAATAAATTAGTTAATTTTTTATGTCTTCTTAAGTGACGTTAAATTTTATGTTATATTACATCTCTACTTATTTCTTTCTACCATTACACGCCTACTTTCGTTTAACATGTTCAAACAAGAAAATCTAAAATTATTATTATTTAAAAACAATTATGAAATCTATTTAGTCAACAAATAAAAACAATTTAGGCAAATATCAAACAAAGACTTTGATATAAAAATTATATATATAATCTCTATAATATATGTTTTTCTCTCTCTCCTCATTTAATTATGATATAAAGTATAAGATTTAATATTTTTTTGGTCTTATAAATATAATAAATTACATTTTAAGTCTCTTTAAAAATAAATGTATGTTTTATTTTCCCCAATGTTTTTCTTTATCTTAAAATGTTTATGCATTTTGCTATCGGTGGAAAAGAGTTACAAAACCAAGGAATAAAATCAGTGGCAAAAAAGAAAAAGTTCCTAAAAAACTTATATAACGGAAAATTAATTTTAAAATATTATAAGGATTAAGAAGTTATGTAACCCTTAATTATATATCTTTTAGAGTGTAGACGTATTTTTCTCTCCTTAAACAACTAAATTTTCTACTGAATAGATAATCTAGAAGGGAGGCTACAATCCATATCTAATAATAATCTAGATGAAAATCCATAATCCAATGGATAAGAACCAAATCTCTCACATTCGAAACAACTATAAATAAATACCCTCACACATTGTTATTCTCTGCATTATAAAAAACATATCACTAATAATGGCGCACAAAATTTGCTTGCTCATTTTTTCCCTCAAACTCAAAACCCCCAAACTCTACCAATGATTCCTCAGAAAACAATCCTAGTATATTTTCTATACACTCAGATAACTCTTTTTCCGAGGTGGAGGCAACAGCGAGTTTATGGTCTCTAACACCGCCACCAACAATAACAATAGTGACACATTGGTGATGCCAATGTCGTCATCTGCACAACCACCATCTGGTAGGTATGTGGATCATCATCAAGATCCATTGGAGGACCTTACCAAATCCTTCTCTAAAAAACAAATGGGTAGACCCTTGGGCTCTAAGAACAAGCCCAAAACATGCATTATTATCGAGGAAGACACACAAAACTTCATAGAGTGGGTAGGGCTTGAGATCCCAATAAGAGAAGATATTATAGTGAATATAATAAAATTCGATCAACAACTTCAACATAACATAATTGTTTCGGGGGTTTCGGTCTTATCTCTAACGTTACCATTCTTGATCCAGTATCCTGGGACCCATTATTATCCATCGAAGAACCCATACATATGACATCTTTATTTGGAACATATATAAATCCAAATTTTCCATGTTCTCCTTCACAGTTCATATCTCATCCACCATGTTCCTCTTTTAACGTATACTTGTCTAGTCCTAAAGTATATGTGTATTGAGGCGTTGGTGGTGGAAAGATTACCTTTGTTAGTGTTATTTTTTTAATGCCACTCTTTCTAGGAAAACAACGTTCCACATGGTAGTCTTCATCAGTAGAAAAGTTTGAGAAATTAAAGAAGGTTGACAAACACATGTTGATGTTGTCATCACCAATGTTAGCTAAGTAGAACATGAGTCTGGAAACAACAACAACAACAATTGTTTACATACGCCCACAAACTTCAATGGTGTATATGCTAATTCAACTAAGATGAATTATCAACTTCCCTCTCACTATCTTCCAATGATGGGAATGATATTGATGAGAACATAATCTTGTGGAACTACACCAATCATCTTGATAACTACTAGATAACCAAAGACTCTTATGCATTCAACTTTATTGTATTAGTCCTTTAAAAGTTCAAACAAAATAAATTAGTTAATTTTTTATGTCTTCTTAAGTGACGTTAAATTTTATGTTATATTACATCTCTACTTATTTCTTTCTACCATTACACGCCTACTTTCGTTTAACATGTTCAAACAAGAAAATCTAAAATTATTATTATTTAAAAACAATTATGAAATCTATTTAGTCAACAAATAAAAACAATTTAGGCAAATATCAAACAAAGACTTTGATATAAAAATTATATATATAATCTCTATAATATATGTTTTTCTCTCTCTCCTCATTTAATTATGATATAAAGTATAAGATTTAATATTTTTTTGGTCTTATAAATATAATAAATTACATTTTAAGTCTCTTTAGAAATAAATGTATGTTTTATTTTCCCCAATGTTTTTCTTTATCTTAAAATGTTTATGCATTTTGCTATCGGTGGAAAAGAGTTACAAAACCAAGGAATAAAATCAGTGGCAAAAAAGAAAAAGTTCCTAAAAAACTTATATAACGGAAAATTAATTTTAAAATATTATAAGGATTAAGAAGTTATGTAACCCTTAATTATATATCTTTTAGAGTGTAGACGTATTTTTCTCTCCTTAAACAACTAAATTTTCTACTGAATAGATAATCTAGAAGGGAGGCTACAATCCATATCTAATAATAATCTAGATGAAAATCCATAATCCAATGGATAAGAACCAAATCTCTCACATTCGAAACAACTATAAATAAATACCCTCACACATTGTTATTCTCTGCATTATAAAAAACATATCCCTAATAATGGCGCACAAAATTTGCTTGCTCATTTTTTCCCTCAAACTCAAAACCCCCAAACTCTACCAATGATTCCTCAGAAAACAATCCTAGTATATTTTCTATACACTCAGATAACTATTTTTCCGAGGTGGAGGCAACAGCGAGTTTATGGTCTCTAACACCGCCACCAACAATAACAATAGTGACACATTGGTGATGCCAATGTCGTCATCTGCACAACCACCATCTGGTAGGTATGTGGATCATCATCAAGATCCATTGGAGGACCTTACCAAATCCTTCTCTAAAAAACAAATGGGTAGACCCTTGGGCTCTAAGAACAAGCCCAAAACATGCATTATTATCGAGGAAGACACACAAAACTTCATAGAGTGGGTAGGGCTTGAGATCCCAATAAGAGAAGATATTATAGTGAATATAATAAAATTCGATCAACAACTTCAACATAACATAATTATTTCGGGGGTTTCGGTCTTATCTCTAACATTACCATTCTTGATCCAGTATCCTGGGACCCATTATTATCCATCGAAGAACCCATACATATGACATCTTTATTTGGAACATATATAAATCCAAATTTTCCATGTTCTCCTTCACAGTTCATATCTCATCCACCATGTTCCTCTTTTAACGTATACTTGTCTAGTCCTAAAGTATATGTGTATTGAGGCGTTGGTGGTGGAAAGATTACCTTTGGTAGTGTTATTTTTTTAATGCCACTCTTTCTAGGAAAACAACGTTCCACATGGTAGTATTCATCAGTAGAAAAGTTTGAGAAATTAAAGAAGGTGGACAAACACATGTTGATATTGTCATCACCAATGTTAGCTAAGTAGAACATGAGTCTGGCAACAACAACAACAACAATTGTTTACATACGCCCACAAACTTCAATGGTGTACATGCTAATTCAACTAAGATGAATTATCAACTTCCCTCTCACTATCTTCCAATGATGGGAATGATATTGATGAGAACATAATCTTGTGGAACTACACCAATCATCTTGATAACTACTAGATAACCAAAGACTCTTATGCATTCAACTTTATTGTATTAGTCCTTTAAAAGTTCAAACAAAATAAATTAGTTAATTTTTTATGTCTTCTTAAGTGACGTTAAATTTTATGTTATATTACATCTCTACTTATTTCTTTCTACCATTACACGCCTACTTTCGTTTAACATGTTCAAACAAGAAAATCTAAATTTATTATTATTTAAAAACAATTATGAAATCTATTTAGTCAACAAATAAAAAAAATTTAGGCAAAGATCAAACGAAGACTTTGATATAAAAATTATATATATAATCTCTATAATATATGTTTTTCTCTCTCTCTCTCTCCTCATTTAATTATGATATAAAGTATAAGATTTAATATTTTTTTGGTCTTATAAATATAATAAATTACATTTTAAGTCTCTTTAAAAATAAATGTATGTTTTATTTTCCCCAATGTTTTTATTTATCTTAAAAAGTTTCTGCATTTTGCTATCGGTGGAAAAGAGTTACAAAACCAAGGAAAAAAATCAGTGGCAAAAAAGAAAAAGTTCCTAAAAAACTTATATAACGAAAAATTAATTTTAAAATATTATAAGGATTAAGAAGTTATGTAACCCTTAATTATATATCTTTTAGAGTGTAGACGTATTTTTCTCTCCTTAAACAACTAAAGTTTCTACTGAATAGATAATCTAGAAGGGAGGCTACAATCCATATCTAATAATAATCTAGATGAAAATCCATAATCCAATGGATAAGAACCAAATCTCTCACATTCGAAACAACTATAAATAAATACCCTCACACATTGTTATTCTCTGCATTATAAAAAACATATCCCTAATAAT